ACAATACGACCTGAATAAAACATGTTAAACCATATAGGTGATTGACAAGTCTAGAGTTACAGATAATGTTAGGCAAGCAAAGAACCAAGATTTTATTAACAAAATAAAAAATTTTCTTTTATCTACTGAGGAATTTAATGTTGAGGGTTGTAGGACTCAAAACTTATCCAAATAACAGAAGACCAAAACCGAGATTGCTTTATGAAAATATTTTCTAGTTCTTATTTCCTATGAACAAATATGCATATATTTAAATACAAATTTGTATATGCGTGTATAGAAGCATTTAGTTATTTCGAAATCATGCCGTACTTTAACAAACTTTACTTTCAACTACATGCATACACACATGTTTACGTATATAAAAAATGAACTAAAAAATATTCTCCTACATCAAATACAAAAAAACTCCCCTTATGCTTGGGTGAGGCATTGGTTTGGGGTTCAATCCTCAGATTACTCAGTAGCTTTGCCACTAAATGAAAAAAAAAAATACAACTTAACTCTCCGAAGATTTTTTTCACAAGAATATGACTGCATTAATTCAGAGAGCATTTCGTTTGAAGCAAAGCTTGCATACTTCTTATCATATTCCTACCAAAACCCCAGCGCAAGTCCATTTAGATTCCAGATAACATATGGTTTCACATCCTAAAAATGGGATTAGTAAAAGCATACCAGCAGGTTTTCCATCAATCTCAATATCAAAGTAAACCTTGTTAGTAATTTCCTTCAAATCCTCGTTGGACTTCTTTGCCTGAAAATAAATCAATTTGTGATCAAGAACATAAACATAAACAACCTAAAATGGTAAATCAATTACCACTACATTGTCTAGGGAGTTTATGAACTTCTTAAAAACTTGTATATGGTAATAAAGAGTTTAAAAATTTAAAACCATAATAAAAGATTCTGACAATAGAATTTTATGAAAGTTGGAGGATGTTGCTCTTATTTATAGAACTAATGATTTTATGAAATATAACATAAGTAAATAATAATATTATCATCCAACTTCAATGATTTAAGGCAACTTTTAGAATGAATAAACTTTGTCTACGAAATTCATTTAAAAACACCAACGTTAAGGATCATTCATAAAATGATTAAAAAGGAGTAACTAGACAATTTCAAGTGAAATTAATACAATATATTTGACATGAAATCAAAATGTACTGTCTCAATTTCACTTAAAATTTTTGAAGAGCTCAATTTACACTTTCATAATTAAAATAATTGTATAGTTTCAAATGGATTCCTGCCTCAAATATTAGAATATTTTTATTATCAATTTACTTTTTAATTGATAATTTACGGACATACTTTAGATCAAATCAATAATTTTTAATTGAACAGTTTATGAACATACTTCCAACCAAGTGAAGTGCAAATAACTTTATCCTAATAAGTAACTCAAACCTATAAGCTAGACACAATTTTTGGTTCAAGCTAAGCCAAACAGCGTCCAAATCTACTAAGCAGGAAAAACCTAAAGGTAATCGGTACTGGTCATAGTTAGTTTGTAGATAACCAAGTAATAATACAGAATCCATATAGTACACAATCCACCTCCATTTTACGTACTTGACCCAGAACTCCCTTTTCTGGGACTCCTTACTTCTCCATTTATTTATTAATTCCTTAACATGATATAAGATATATATCATAACAATCAATTAATATTCTGTCATCACCGAATCACCAACAGATTAATCAAACTAATACAGAACATTCCAGATCACTACAGAAATTAAATTATCGCAAGTGCTGTGATTCACAAGAAACAATAACTAAAAGACAAAAATGATCACTCTGAAGCATAATCTTGATTGAATCAGCATAAGCTTATGATGTCCTTCTCGAATCGTAGATCCCACAATCGGAGAAAAGAAATTGAAAGAGGATGAAATTTGAAAATTCACAAAAAGAAAATAACCGAGGATAAGATCCTGAAAGATCCAGCAAATAAATACGAGACACTGACATTTTTTTAGTAGATCGAAGATTTTATGACTAAAGTGGATAATATAATACTATGAACAGCATGAACGAAATAATTGAGTAATCAAATAGCTTTACCTGGATTAGGGTTAGGGTTCCAAAAAGTGCCAGAAACCATAACAGAGTGAGGGAGAACAAACTGCTTGACCTCGCCATTTCTTGAGAGTACCTTCTGACTGATGATCGATATGGTTTTAGCTGGTTGAGGTGGAAATAGTGTTTATATACTGTCTACTGTTTGAGCTGTTAGCCAATAACTTTCAGACACGTGGAGTGTTACGAATTCTGATTGGACCACGTTGTCTTTGTTGACGTAGATGTCTCCAAAGTCTTGTGGAATTACTGTTCGTGAGGAAAATTCTGTGAGCGAGACGAATGTTGGGCTTACAGATACTAGTGGGCCCTAAATTTGGGGGGCCCAATCAAAAGTTATTACAAGAAAAATAGCCCATTAGGAAAGTTATACTTCCCTCCTCAACAAAGTTAGGGGGCTCTTACCATGACGTGGCATTTTCTGATTGGTGGGAGGAACCGGTAGCGGAGGCTAGCTAACTATTGTTTCACCAGCTACCGTTCCTTCGAAGAAAAAGATGAAGAAGGAGGTAGGAGGAGAGGAGGACTGCTTGGTGCCAATTTCTCTCCGTCACAAATGGCTGTTTCAAGTCAATTTAAGGTATTACTTCTACAATTTAAAAGAAGAGCTTTCAGGTTTATGAGAATCCTCTATTCTTTCTGTCGTTCTGCTTCGCTGGCTTTGGCCTTTTCTTTTCAATGGAGGAAGCAGAAGATCATGGCCGACATCCATTTGTTTCCACTTTTCCTACTTCTTCTTCTTCAAATTCTACTTCACAAGTTCAAGAGGAAGTAGAAAACAATGAACTAGAGAACCAGGACGGTTTTCGACACCAACAGGAGCAAGGGCAACAAGGTTCAATTGTGTCATATCGTATAAACATATCGTTATCTGATGCCACAAGGAGTGAGCTGAGAGATGATATCTGGTCTTGCTGTGCTGTTCTGGTCATGTTTTGTTTTTTCGGTCAGTTTCTTCATCTACCTCTCATCTCAGTAC